TGTGTGATATTAATGATATTGTTCGATAATTTCTGCATTCAGTTGGATCTCCTTTCTTTCTAATGGGTACAAATATGGTTCTCTTCCAGTCAATTGGCCAGGTAGCTGTCTTCCAAATTTCTTGGCATAGACGAGTGAGCGCTTCCAGTGCTGCACCTGTTTATTGAAACATCTCAATTGGTATTCTGTCAATTCCTAGAGCCTTGATTTTTGCCAATGCCTTCAGTGCAGCTTGGACCTCTTCCTTCAGTACCATGGGTTGCTGATCATATGCTACCTCCTGAAATGGCTGAACGTCAACCAATTCTTTTTGGTACAGCGACTCTGTGTATTCCTTCCATCTTCTTTTGATGCTTCCTGCGTCGTTCAGTATTTTCCCCGTAGAATCCTTCAATATTGCAACTCGAGGCTTGAATTTTTTCTTCAGTTCTTTCAGCTTAAGAAATGCCAAGTGTGTTTTTCTCTTCTGGTTTTCTAACTCCAGGTCTTTGCACATTTCATTATAATACTTTACTTTGTCTTCTGGAGCAGCCCTTTGAAATCTTCTGTTCAGCTATTTTACTTCATCATTTCTTTCTTTCACTTTAACTACTCTATGTTCAAAAGCAACTTCCAGAGTATCTTCTGACATCCATTTTGGTCTTTTCTTTATTTCCTTTATTTTTAATGACCTATTGGTTCTTCGTGTATGACATCCTTGATGTCATTCCACAGCTCATTTGGTCTTTGATCATTAGTGTTCAATGCATCGAATCTTTTCTTGAGATGGTCTCTAAATTCAGGTGGGATATACTCAAGGTTGTACTTTGGCTCTCGTGGACTTGTTCTAATTTTCTTTAACTTCAGCTTGAAACAGCATATGAGCAACTGATAGTCTGTTCCACAGTTGGTCCCTGGCCTTCTTCTGACTGATGGTATTGAGCTTCTCCATCATCTCTTTTCACAGATGTAGTCGATTTGATTCTTGTGTATTCCATCTGGTGAGGTTCACTTGTATAGTTGCTATTCCTGTTGTTGAGAAAAGGTATTTGCAATGAAGAAGTCGTTGGTCTTCCAAAATTCTGTCCTATGATCTCTGGCATCATTTCTATCACCAAGGCCATATTTTCCAACCATTGACTCTTCGTCTATGTTTCTAACTTTCAAATTCCAATCCTCAGTAATTATCAATGCATCTTGATTGCATGTTTGATCAATTTCAGACTGCAGAAGTTGGCAAAAATCTTCAATTTCTTCATCTTTGGCCTTAGTGGTTGGTGGGTAAATTTGAATAATAGTCGTATTAACTGGTCTTCCTTGTAGGCATATGGATATTATCGTATCACTGACAGCATTGTACTTCAGGAATAGATCTTGAAATGTTCTTTTTGACAATGAACGTGACACCATTCCTCTTCAATTTGTCATTCCTGGCATAGTAGACTGTATGACTGTCTGATTTCAAAATGGCCAATACCAGTCCGTTTCAGCTCACTAATGGCTAAGATATCGATGTTTATGCATTCCATTTCATTTTTGATAACTTCCAATTTTCCTAGATTCATACTTCTTACATTCAACATTCCAGATATTAATGGATGTTTGCAACTGTTTCTTCTCATTTTGAGTCATGCCACATGAGCAAATGAATGTCCTGAAAGCTTGACTCCATCTGCGTCGTTAAGGTCAACTGTACTTTAAGAGGCAGCTCTTCCCCAGTCGTATTTTGAGTGCCTTCCAACCTGAGGGCTTCATCTTCCGGCACTATATCAGAGAATGTTCCACTGCTATTCATAAAGTTTCCACTGACCAGTTTTTTCAGAAGTAGACCACCAAGTCCTTCTTCTTAGTCTGTGTTAGTCTAGAAGCTCAGCTGAAACCTATCCACCAAGGGTGACCCTGCTGGTATTTGAAATACTGGTGGCAAAGCTTCCAGTATCACAGCAACACGCAAGCTACCAGAGTACAACATACTGACAGACACATGGTGGACATCTGACATTACTGTGTACAAATGGCAGAGTGAATGAACCCCAATTCAGAATAGACTGTGTGTTCTGTGTCTACACACACAAAGAAAGCATGTGTCTTTATTTATCTTCAAGCCCTCTGAGAGCATCTAAAGGCTCTTTTCAAAAGAATAGTGTAAAGCACTTCATATTACATTTCTAATTTTGTAGAGAACTTAATAATAAACAATGATACCAACAATAACAATAAATAATATTAATAGCAACAAGTCAAGGAGCCTTCGTGGCACAGTGGTTAAGTGCTAGGCTGCTAACCAAAAGGTCTGTGGTTCAAACTCACCAGCCACTCTGCAGGAGAAAGATGTGGCAGTCTGCTTCCATAAAGATTACAGCCTTAGAAACCCTATGGGACAGTTCTACTCTGTCCTATAGGGTTGCTATGAGTTGGAATCAACTCAACAGCACAGAACAAGTCACACGTATGTAGTACTTGTCATGTACTAGGCACTGTTCTGAGTGCCATCAAGTAGCTTCCCTATAGGACAGGGTAGAATTACTCATAGGGTTTTCAAGGCTGTAATCTTTACAGAAGGAGTCCTGGTGGCACAGTAGTTAAAGCAATGGACTGCCAACCAATTCAAAATCACCAGTGGCTCCGTGGGAGAAAGATGTGGCAGTCTGCTTCCATAGAGATTTACAGCCTTGGAAACCCTGTGGGGTCGCTATGAGTCGGAATTGTCTTGATGGCAGTGAGTTTTGGGTAATCTTTACAGAGGAGCCCTCGTGGCGCAGTAGTTAAGCACTCAGCTACTAACCAAAAGGTCTGTGGTTAGAACTCACCAGCTGCTCCTCAGGAGAAAGATGTAGCAATCTGCTTCTGTAAAGATTACAGCCTTAGAAACCCTATGAGGCAGTTCTTCTCTGTCCTGTAGGGTTACTATGAGTTGCAATTGACTCGACAGCAATGGATTTTCGGGTTTTTAAAAAATATTTGCAGAAGCAAATTGCCACATCTTTCTTCTTCATAGTGGGTGGTGGGTTCGAACCGCTGACCTTTCTGTTAGCGGCTGAGCACTTAACCACTGTGCCACCAGGGCTCCTTTTTCTAGGTGCTTACATGTGTTATTTCATTGAATCCTCACATCACCCACATGCAGTTCTGTTATTTTACCATTCAAGGAACGGAAGCTCACAGAGCTTGTGACTTGCCCAACCTCAAAGGTACTAAGTGGCAACAGCAAGATTGGAACCTAGATCATCTGACTCCACCAGAGCCCACACTCTCAACTACTGTGCTTTCTTGCTTCTGTGTCAGTGGGAGCTTCAGCAGTCTTTCAGATAAAGTTATTCTTGATTCTCTGTGCTCTGATAATTCACATAATCTTAGGACCTACCTATCTGTCTTAGGCTGGGTTCTCTAGAGAAGCAAAACCAATGAAGCATATATATATAGAGAGAGATTTATCTCAAGGAAATGGCTCACGTGGTTGTAGAGGCTGCCAAGTCCCAAGTACGTGGGTCAGGCGTCAGGCTGGAGGCTGTTCCTGACTCACACAGCTGCAGGGGCTGACAAACCCAAGATCAGCAGGTCAGAAGGCAGGCCACTAGTTCAAGTCCCAAGAAACTGGAGGTCAGATGATGACGAGCCAGATGCAGGATCCAGAGCAAGCAAGCAAGCTTTGACAGAACATCCATATATATATTGGATGCAGGCCGCACCCCAGAGGAAACTCGCCTTACAACTGATTGGCTGATGACATCAGATCACATCATGGAGGATGACTAAATCATTACATAACTGCCAAACTACATCATTACATAATGTCAAATCACTGAGAATCATGGCCCAGCCTAGATGACACACAGCCTTAACCATCACACTATCCTATACCACACTACCAGAAACTGCTGGTAGGGTGGAGCCATAGAACAGCGTTTGGGGTTCAGAAAACAGCTCAGGCATTTTCAGGTAAAAGGTCACTTACCAGGATCTCTTCCGGAAAGTGGTGATTGTTGAACTTGGGTGAGCATCCAAGTCACTTGGAGAGCTTTCTTAGAACAGGGTGCTGGGCACACCCTCAAGGTTTCTGATTCCGAGAACTTGCATTTCTGACAGGCACCCAGACGGTGCTGATGCTGCTGGTCTGGGGTCATGCTTTGAGAACCATTCCACGAGGGCCTGCCTGGCAGATCAGGGGTTCTGGACGGAACTCCGATAGCAAGCTCACACCTGGTCCCCCATAGTGGCAGATTTGGACCCTGCAGGTGCCTAGCCTGTGTACACAGCACCATAGCGGATCTGATGCAGATGACTTTCCTTCTCTGAATCTTGCTGCCTCCCCAGGTGCCCACCACATTAGGCCCCAGGTGGGCTGTGTCCAAAGTGCCCAGCTCGTTTCCATCCTGACTTCCAGCCCCCCTGTGAGGTCTGCCATCCAGCCTGGCCATGCCCCTTTGGAGCACTCGGTTCTCAGCGGTGACAAAGACCATCTCTGTGAGCCCTGCACAAGAGTCCCACTGCCTGACATGGGGGATAATTTACAGCACCTGAAAGTTAGCCTTCAAAAAACCAAATCCGTTGCCATCAAGTGTATTCTGACTTACAGTGACCCTACAGGACAGAGTAGAACTGTCCCATAGAGTTTCAGAAGCTGTAGTCTTTACCCAAGCAGACTGCCACATCTTTCTCCAACACAGTGGTTCGAACCTCAGCCCTTTCGGTTAGCAGCAGAGCACTTTAACCATTGCACCATCAGGGCTCCTAAAATTGGCCTCAGAGGGGAGTATAAACCTTCTCTGATTTATAGGGCCTGTCTCCTGGAAAGGACATGTGAAAGAGCGGACGCTAGGAAGGCCTATAGAGGAACAACTGAGCCTAAAATGCAGCAGTTGGGGCCTCACACTCCCACCTCTCCCCTCCCTGAGCTGGGTGTGCCGTCAGTGACCCCAGAACTGTAAGATGCACACACCCACCCCTCCACCCCTCGTACGTACGCTCCCAGCCGCCCGCCTTCACAGGACTGCACTTTCTGACGCGGTCTCCCTCCGCAGGGCCGGAAGAGAAGGGCAAGAACGCGGTGCAGGACGGGACCTGCTGCGCCTCGTGCAAGGAGTTCCACCAGATGAAGCAGACAGTGCTGCAGCTGAAGCAGAAGGTGGGTGCGCAGCCGGGTATGCAGAAAACAATGAAATAAAGTGAAGACTTGGTGGGGGAGAAGTGGAAGACTGTGTAAAAACAATAAGAAAATGCATCTTCATCCCTGGCCTTGTTGGTAGGACGAGGAGTAATTCATGTTTAAAAGTACCTGGTTAGTACTTGGATGGAAGCCCGCCTGGGAGTACTGGGTCAGGCTAGGTTTGGACTCAAGATGCTTTGCCCACCACCCTCAGGGGTGATGATCTAAAGGGCATTAAAACACAAGGAAGGCAGGGAGTTGATTGTTGTTGTTATTGGTTGCCATGGAGTCACCTCGACTCATGGGGACTCTGTGTATTACAGAGTAGGACTGCTCTGTGGGATGTTCTTGGTTATAATCTGTACAGAAACAGATCATCCAGTCTTTCTTCCACAGAGTGGCTGAGTGGGTTTGAACCACCAACCTTTGTTAGCAGCCAATTGCAAACCAATTGTGTACTCTAGCTCCTGGGAGTTGATTGTTATTTTTAGCTGCCATTCAGTCAGCCCCTGACTCATGGCAACCCGGTGTGTTGATTAGGTGATTATTATAGTAGGCTGCTAGGGGAGGGGCAGGTGGCAACTCCAGAAAGGATGAGATGTGACTTTGGTGACTGTAAAATGAGTGTCCAGACACGTGGCCCTGGGGCAGACCTATGTGATTATATTTTATCTGTATTTTATCCAATGGAGAACATCCTTTCTGTAAACTTCCATCAAACAGATTTCTACAGCAGCTGTATTTTCACATTTAAAAATCAAATCATAGCATGGGCTTTATCTGGGCTCTGTGTGCCTCCACATCACAGCAGTTCTGAGCTAACGCTGGCATTCAAGTCACATATGAGGAGTAAATCGTTTTTCAAGGCGCCTATTAGAATGCATTGCGTTCTGCAGTTTACAACTCAGCGGCTTTGGTGCCATGTGCCACAGACGGTGAGAGATGGCTCACTTTATGAAAGGCTTCCATCCATGTCTGATGGATTACCAGGTCTCCAGTAGTGCAGTTATGCTGTGAGAGTTCCCTGTGATGGCCTAGTGATCTAGAAAGACTGTCCAGGATTTCTGGAAAGACTGTCCAGGATCCAGGTAGATGGTAATTATTATACCTAAGGTCACTCAATTTGCTGGTTTTGTCGGTGACTCAGAAATTTCTCTGATGCTGTTAAAACGTAAACTTACTGGTTTGTTTATTTAATTGCTTCCACTCAAGACTCTTAGTACATCAAAGAAGTGTATACAATCTGTTTGACTTTGGCATCCAGTTATTCTAAAGGGCGAAAGGGCAAACATGAGACAATACTGCTTTTCCATGTTCAACAAACATGCAGCCAACCCCTAATGAGAACCACAGCTACCAGTTAAACAAGCAGATCAACAGGCTGAGAAGACAAATACGCAGGCCTTTTGCACATTGTTGGTGAACATGTTGTTAATGTTAGCAGAGACGTGTCTATTTTATGCGTAATCGTGAGTAAAATGTGGGTCCAACCCTAAATAGCTTGTGATCTAATAGGGAGATCAGGCAGACAACTTTGTGTGTATATACTTAAACGCAGAGACGTAAATAAATACATCCTACATAGCTATCCCCAGGTGGAGCGTGGATTGATAGTAGTATTTATTGAGTGTATCCAAGAAAAGGTTCATGGAAGGAGTAAGTTTGCATTTTGGAGGTCAGAGGATTGGGACATGTGGAAGCAGTTGATCAGTGTCTCAAGGCATAAAGCTACCCTTAGCTTCCCTCCTGGGGCAGCTAATCTAAGAGCTATAGGGAAGCTCTTTCCAGCCAGAGCATCTTTAGGAATAAACCAAAACCCATTGCCATCAAGTAGATTGCGACTCATTGCGACCCTATAGAACAGAGTAGAACTTCCCCATAGCAGTTCCAAGCTGTAATCTTTACGGAAGCAGATGGCCACATCTTTCTCCCATGGGGCAGCTGGATATAAAAACCAAAACCAAACCCTGTAGGACAGAGTAGAACTGCCTCATAGGGTTTCCAAGGAGCAGCTGGTGGATTTGAACCGCTGACCTTTTGGTTAGCAGCCAAGCACTTAGCCACTGCACCACCAGGGCTCCTCTTCTTTAGTAATAGTGGAGCTAAATATCTGAAGTGGTTCAGAAATTCAGTTGCTACATCAACATCTGGCTTTCCCTTAGCCTGCCTGGGATATGTGATGATCTGTGAAAGAAGAAATGTTAAAAAGAGATTGGAAAACTTGTGTCATAATACCTGTCACCCTTAAAGACCCTACTATGGAGCCACAAAAAGAAGTATGAGGTCTTCTTAGTACTCCAGTAACTGACACAACATTGAGTTGGACTAGGATTGGCCCACCGTATACCGAATTCTCCCTACAAAATGCACTGCGGCGTTTCTGGGCTACTGCTGATGTTATTGTTGTTAGTTGTCATCAAGTCGATTCTGACTCAGGGAGAGCCCATGTGTGCAGAGTAGAACTGTCCCATAGCGTTTTCAAGGCCGTGACCTTTCAGAAGCAGATCGCCAAGCCTGTCTTCCGAGGCACCCCTGGGTGGGTTTGAATAGCCAGCCTTTCAGCTAGTAGTCAAGCACTTAACCATCTGCACCACCCCGAGTTACCACTGCTGAGTTTCCATTACTGAGGCAGTAATTCATGTTTAAAAGTACCTAGTTAGTACTTGGATGGAAGATCACCTGGGAATGCTGGGTGCCATATTGAAGGAGCCCTGTTAGTACAATGGTTAAGCATTCGGCTATCTGAAAGGTCAAGGCTTGGAACCCACCAGTAACTCCACGGGAGAAAGACCTGGCAATCTGCTTCCATAAAGATTACAGCCTTGGAAACCCTGTGGGGCCGTTCTACTCTGTCATATTGGGGTTGCTCTGAGTCGGAATTGACACCACAGCACACAACAACAACAGCATTAGAATGAGCTGCACTCTCCAGTTTATAAAGCGTATATCCAGGAACTCATTGCATTCCACCATGGCCCTGTAAGAAAGATGCTGATGTTTCCGAGAGGGGAAGTAGCTGCCCAAGCGGCAAGGCCAGAACTAAAACCCAGGTCTTCCCACCCACTTCTCCTGTGCTGGTGTTTGGATCGTCAGTGGATGTCTAACATCATCACACTGCTGCTAATGCCATCTGTTCTGTTCCTTGCGGAACAGCCAAAAAAGAGTCTAGGACATCTGCCCAAATAAACAGTGGCCTGGAAGCAGGTATGGTGTGGCCAACCATGACTGTGGCCAACCCACAGTATACAATGGTTTGCAAACACGTTGCACTGCACCAGGAGTGCGCAGTCAGCACAATTCCAACTCTGGGAAACTCTGCAGTCCCACGCCTGGGTTCTTCAGCGGTAAGTTGTCAGGAAAAGAGAGAGCCAAAGCAGCCACCTATAGATTAAAAGAAGCTTAAGAGACATATTTCTAAATGGGCAAGGCTAACGATCATGTCTAGGGATGTACAGTTGGGTAATGTTATATTTTATGTACATATTTTATTACATACAATATATGCAAGTATGGATCATATGTTCTTCTTGTTGGGTGTTGATTCTGACTCTTAGAGACCCCATGTGACAGAGTAGAACTGCTCTATAGGGTTTTCTTGGCTGTAACGTTTATGAAAGCAGATGGCCAGGTCTTCCTCCCAGATAATGTATAATACATGGCATATTTTTAAAATTATGTACTATAAAATTTTTATATGTATTATGTAATTATGTGTTATATATCAACATGTAACACATTATAAAATATATAACCCATTCCCGTTGTCATCGAGTCAATTCCGACTCACAGTGACCCTACAGGACAGAGTAGAAGTGCCCTCATAGGGTTTCCAAGGCTGTAAATCTTTATGGAAGCAGGCTGCCACATCTTTCTCCTGCAGAGCATCTGGTGAGTTCAAACCATTGACCTTTTGGTTAGCAGCCGAGCACTTAACCACTGTGCCACTGGGGATCCCTATAAAATATATACATATGTTTTGTTAATATAAAAGTCAGGGTAGTGGTTAATTCTGGCAAGAGACTGTGATGGGGAAGAGCCCACAGAGGGGCTTCTGGGGCTTCCAGCAAAGTTGTTTTTTGACCTGGGTGTTGATTAAAAGGGTGCTTGCCTTATAATAATTTGATAAGATATATATTTGTTTTGTGGGGTTTCCAGATTCTGTGTTTTATTTTCCAATTAAAAGTCTTTTCAGATGGCATGCAGACTCCAGTGCCTACCTCTGCCATTTCTCATGTTGGTGGAAAAAAAACAAGCAATTCAGCTAGAAAAGGAGAGTTGAGTGGTAGATAAGATACCAGTGAGTTAGCTTTTAGTGGGGGGGCTGGTCCTTCCAGAGCACTGAAGAAAAATCATAGCCAAGGAGCCAGCCAGTTTTTTAAAAGCCACTTGTTTTCTGGCCGCACCGACTATTTGATTTGAGAAGTGGGATTGCCGCAGCGTCCAAAGAAGGTGAGATTCCAGAGGGTGTGGCCTGGCTCTGGGGTCAGATGAGGCCAGGCTGAGTAGGGGTTTAACAGTGTGTTCAGCCTCCTTGGGTGGATGCGGGAGCAGAGTGGAGGGGAGCAGAGGGTCTCCTTACTCCTGGTTGTGGGTTGAAATGTGTCCCATAAAAGGATATGTTCAGTTCCTAAACCCAGGCGCCTGTGAATGTGACCTGGCTTGGAAATAGGGCCTTTGCAGATGTCTTTAAGTGAAGATGACTAGAGTAGGATGATTGGAGTAGGGTGTGCCCTAAATCCGATATGACTGGGTACTTAGAAGAAGGGAATACACAGACGCACAGGTAGACAGATTGGAATGATGCAGCTACAAGCCAAGGAATACCAAGGATTGCCAGTAACTCCAGAAGCTAAGAGAACGGCATGAACAGGTTCTCCCCTAGAGCCTTCAGAGAGAGTATGGCCCTGTGGACACCTTGATTTCAGACTTCTAGCCTCCAGAACTGTGAATTTCCGTTGTTTTAAGCCACTCAGTGTGTT